AATATGTTGCATTCTGCAAATCAATAGTTAAAATAGGTGAACAGAAACACTATTCTGAATGTTTCCTTGATTTTTTTTAAATGTAAAAAAAAAACAATATTTGAAGCAAACATAACCAATCTTCAATAAAAGTTTATCTTTAATGAGACTAGGCAATGTCATTTCTTTATCTGGCGGAGGAGAGTCAGAGATGAATGTACAAAGTTCATGTCGTTCAGTCTCAAATTACCATCTTCTTGTGTTAGTGCTGCACAGTGAACTCCAAAGCTGTTTTTACAGGCTTTTTTTCTTTCTCTTAGCTGTGAAACATATTACTGTATCCTGACTTCCGTTGAAAATTTCAATCCCATTCACTTCTTGAATGTATCATTTGTAATCCTCTGTTGGAAAGGCGGCTTGTTGGATGCACCGTCATACCTAAATTCCCTAGTCTTATACAATTCAATTATTTATGGCTCTCAACTTTTTATGCATATATAAAAAGCATTCTGGCTCTGAGAACATAATGCTGCTGTATCAGTCCTGAAAAGAGAGGAGAATGGGAAGAGTCAAAAGAAGGATGTGCTATTCTCCTCTCCCCACACACACTTGTTCCAGCAATACCCTGAGATAATCTTTTCATAACCTGTTTGTTACGATGACCAAAAGTCCATGGTCAGTTCTGATCTTAGTTTCTTGCATATTGCTGCCATTATCTCCAGATTTCCTCCCTCCCCCCGCATTTAGAAAAAAATCTATATACTCTGGCAGCATCTTTAGGCTGTTTATTGAATTGCTGACTGAGCTTATGCACAGCTGCTGAGCCAGGGACTCTTTAGTTTATGAAGTATTAAAAATACTGTTTCACTTAAAATATGACTTACAAAAATGAACTTGTTAACCTTTTCCATGATTGTTAATGAATGAATAGTATGTACGGTAGGACAGTTAAAGCTTGAGTACATTAAAATACAGAATTTATGTACTTTTAATGTGACCTACATTTTATCATCTGGTCGTGGTAACTGGAAACTACAGTAAAAGACATGGCTTGAGGTTAGTTTAACTGTGTGTCCTTCATTTCCATGATGGAGGCAGCAGAAACAGTAACAGGACACCTACTCTGACCATCAGTATTCCATATCTATTATTTATTGTTTGTAATGCTAATTTGAACAGTTATTATGGTAATCCTGTCTTCCTGAGCCATCTATTCTGTAAATACAAGATGAAGGTGATGTGAACCCCAGACTTCGACATGTCATTGTGATGGTCTTAATTTGTTAATAAGTAACTTTAAATAAGCTTTTCATTTTTGTACTGTTCCTGTTGCCTACATCTACATCTTGTCACAATCTTTTAAACAAACTTCAAGTCTGTGATTGTTCTCAGGACTGAGAGTCACCCTGTTACCTCCTGTCTCCAATGAGAGGGAGTCTCTCTTGTGGTAGCTGCGTGTCAGCTTTTTGGCACCTGTCAGCCCTTCAGCCAGTCAGGCATTCTCCTGTGGACATATGCCAGCCCTTCCTTCTCCAGGCAGTTTAGCAATAGATGCGCCTCAATCCCCAAATCTCTTTGATCATTCCCCTGGGATGTCCATCCCGTGACACTGGCTACTCACAGAATTTCCAGATCCTCTGCACCCAAAGGTGTACCATACCCTAATTTACCAGTTTTACCTTAAACTACTGCTCCTGTAAACCACGCAACACTTATGAGCCCTTAAATAAACCTCCTTTTGTTTCATTATATGAAAGAATAAAGATTTAACTAGAAACCAGAGAGTGGTGGAAATATGTTCTTACAAAACAAAACAAAATCATAAAGCGTGAATTTGTCTCTACATTTATCAGTGGTTTACTTTATTAGATAAAGTAGATTTTTTTTCCTTTCCAAGTTCAGTCTGTTTAGAAGATGGCTAGTTTATCAATAACTAGAAAGAAATGTTCATGAAAGCACCCCTTCCGTCAGGGGTTTCCCTCAGTGAATGGATTCAGATTGCCTTTCTTTACACTGTTATACTGAAAACAGTCTTTCATGTCTATTCACAGGCCGGATGAACCTCTGCCTTGTTGTAGAGTTTCTTTTCTATATTTAAGAGGCTTTGATTGTTTGTTGTTTCTCATGGTTTTTCATTGACTAACTGTTCCGGGATGTGGCAAGGGTAGACCATAGAATCTTGCATTACCTCACCAGCAGACTCGGGCGGGGTGACTTGAATGAGCCATCATTCAGACACATTATCTCCTGGTGGCCAATTTCTACTCCAGACCATAAAGCATATTTTTAGTATAAATACCGTACATTATTCCTTAAATGTAACGCATATATACATCTTGCAATGGCTGATCCTTGACAAGTTATGAGCTTTCTGAGGATACCTTTGCATGATACTCATTATGGAAAAATAACCTGTAAGATGTGTTTGGTGCAGTGAGTTTGTCAGGTCTGAGATGAACGTTTGCAAGGACCAGAGGACCCTTTGCCAAGGGGTGTCTGTGGGTATGGCTCCACAGCAAAAAAAAAAAAAAAAAAAAACCCCAAACCCATGGCTAGCCAGTGCCAGCTGACTTGGGCTTGCGGGGTTCAGTTTACGAGACTGTTTTCATTGCTTTCGGGCTCAGGCTGGAGCCTGAATTGTGGGACCCTCCCACCCCACAGAGTCATAGAGCCTGGGCTCTGGCATCCTCCCACCCCCAGGCTCCAGCTGTATAGACATACCCTGAGTCACGAAGTCATACAAACAAGCTGTTTTATAGGTAAAATGGGGTAAAAAGGATTGAAGAATTTCCCTATGTAAAATCCATATTGTTAAAATTGTCTGGGAGGGGGAAGGGAAGAATGTCTGGCACAGAGCGTATGAGAAACTGAAGCTGAAAAGAACTTGTTTTGGTTTTGAACTGGGGACGGGTAAGAAGTTGAGTAAGAAGAGTCCAGTTCTGTAGAATGGAAAACAGTCTTACAGGTGATTTGCAAATGATTTTTAAAATATTAGGGTGGTTGTTTTAGCTCTACTTCCTTATCATGAATAAAGGAGGCCTGTAATTTCTTCTCTCCAAAAATATAAAAAAAAATCTTAGCTTTTAACCTTAAAAGTATCAAGGATGTTAACTCTGGACTTCCCTGCCTTTGTTGAAGGCATTTGTGGGTGAGGGATTTGCCTTGGATCTGATGTATATTTTGAATCCTGCTTAGCTGAGTGGGCAGAGGTTGTTGAATCTTTAACGAACAGAAGCTTCTAAATTTTCATTGGACATTGGCATTAAATACATAGATATTAAAAATTTTAAGTGCACTAAATATTTTTCCTCTGTTTCTCAAATTTCAGTGTCTTGTGATGTTTTGGCCATGCTCTAGAGCAGAATTTATAATGATGTCCTAGAATTTCTAATATTAAAGGAGGGTTTGGGGAACCTGTCTTCTGTTTGTTTAAAAGATAATAAATAAAATCTTATGCATAATGAGAAACTAAGACTTGTGCCCATTCTTGCTATTTGACTTTGCAGGCAACTCATCCACAAGTATTAACATCACACTCAGCCAGTCTTAATGTTAAATCCTGTGGAATGTTATTAAAAAAAGTTGCACATCTACCGAATAAAAATTACGTAATATCAGAGATCAATAGCCAAAGAATTTTCAGGGAAGTCTCCAAAACTACTAACGTGCCAAAAAATTCTATATAACAGACGGCATTTTGCAATGCATAGCATATGCCATCTGCTATCATTTACAAAGTCACAGTATATACAAGCCATACTTACCAACAGCAATCAAAAAGTCCCAAAAGATCAAGTACACTACACCAAAGTAACTTGTTGGTCGGGTTTGCGAGCTCAATACCTGTACTTCAGAATATTGTCCTTTCTCTTTGACTCTCTTGTCCTCCGTTCTGGTGCAAAGTTGCTGTAAACATATTCACAATTTTAAACTTTGGCTTTCACTTGGCTAAAGGGTAATGATGGCAACTCTGTACACACTTAGTTTTATTCATTTGTGAAATTACAAGTGCTGCAATTTTGGGTGACTGCTCATGTTGCTCAAAGTTCTGAAATACTGAATGAGGTGCTTGGAGTTCTTGTTGCTGAACCATCGGGACCTTTGTTCAGCTTCTTGAGTGGACAACTACCTATAGGTCTGATATACTCTAAGAGGTTATTGAGAGGGAAGCCATGCATATGGAACAAGAACGGACAACTCAGAAAGTGTCCCTCCTTCACCAAGCCAGGCAGCGATGGCATTGTCCTCAGTGCAGTACAAATGGCTTGTGTTTGTGTTAATTCAGATAGAAGTCCAGAGATTAGGTGGATCAGGACGAGTCAGGGGTATTTAACTTCCAGTTGGAGAGCACAGTAGTTTTCCATGCAGTCTGGAGTCTACCAGGGAGCTGGGGCTGGTGGGTAAGGAAGAAGGAAGATTTTGAAAACTAGTTCCTATCAGAATCTATACTGCAGTTCTCACAAGTCAGTGTTGCCAGTTCATGTGACTTATTCGTGAGTCTTTTTTGATATTTTAAGTTGTTTTTTCATAAAGCTCCAGATGCTGAAATCAAGTGATTGCATGAGAAATTGAGCATTCATTTTAAAATAATAGTTTTTAACCTGCCTTCATGCAGAGAAAAGCTTGAAAAATTAAAATTAACTGTATCTTAAAGGCTTAGGAACCAGAGGGCAAATTAAAACATGCAACACTTATTTTTAAATCAGTCATGGTTTTTTGTGTGGCCTGCCACTGAGTTTTAACGCTTGATGTTGGCAATACTGCAAATGATCCCACCCTTTTAGTAAGATGGCTACCATTAGCAAGCTGTTTCCAGTTGTAGTTGAAACATTTTGTTTGCTATATGTTGCACAATTGACTAATGGTGGATAGAACATCTCGAGAAACTCATGAAATATATATAGGTAAACTGTGTTTTTCTGATATAATTAGGCATCCATGTGTCATTTATAATTTTTAGCTGTATTGTGTTCTCCTGAGTTGTTAATTCAAGTGTAATATTTTCTTTTTCATTTCCACAGAATCAAGAAACTTTCAAGGACCAATGAACCCCATAGCTCATGGAAGAAAAAAATCATATCAAGACATCCTTGGTTTCCAAGTTACCGAAGTACGGAACAAAATCTTTAGGGAGCACCCTACAGCCAATGCCAAATAGGACAGCTGTTCCCTTGTCAGGGAATTCTCATAGCAGTAGTGGCAAAAATTGCAGCAAGCACAATGGAACTGTTCATATGTCTTCCTTTGCTTTTAGCTGGCAAAAATCAAATAAATATCAACTTGGTGATCAAAGTGGTGGTGAGTCTAACTCTGCCCAGAATTCCAATGAAAAACTAGATGATTCTGAGAAGTATCCTCCTTCTCAAGGAGGATTTGGGAAAGATGTGCTCAGGGTGGGTTTGAACAGCACCTCTTCAGTAGCATCAAAAACAGCAAAGCAAGTCAACATGTTTGTGTCCTCTACAGAAGAATTAAACCAAAAGTCTTTGCCTGGACTGTCTAGTTCAGCGAAATTTACCAAAGGTACGTTATTTGGCAGGACTTCGTATTCTGGAATCAGTGCTCCAAAATCACATTTAAATGGGTTTTACGGAAATAGGCCATCTGTAGACTTGCAGAAGTGTAGAATTAACTCCAATGCCACCAGAACCAGTTCAGGAGAGAGTTTGGCGCAATCCACAGACAATGCTAAATCTTTTTCCTGTGAAAAAATGGGTAGATCACAAAGTTTTTCACATTCCATTCAGAATTCTTTCCTATCTGCTGCATCCTTAACCAGATCACATTCCTTTAATAAAGCTGTAGATCTTACAAGGCCTTATCAAAAACAGCACCTGGCTATTAGAGCGTCTCAGAGGTCAACTCTGTTGTCAAGAAATGCCCAACAGTTGGATGTACCCAGTGGAAATGAACCTTTAAGGTATGGATTTACCAGGCCATACGCTTCTATATCAACCTCTGGTTTAAAGAAGCCACCGCTCTCAAATGGATCCGGGGCATCATCCTCTTTGGGGTATGGTATGGGTCGTCCTTCTTTACTGAAACCTACCAGACAGCCGTTTACTGGAAAGATCATTGTGGATGACAGCAAAAGTACAAGTACTGACATGTGCATAGTGAAGGTCTCTGAGGTTACGGTAAATGTCAACGGAGCCATTGAGAAAAAAGACCTAGAAAATGACAGTCAAAGAACAGAATGTGGTGAAGCCCTTCATGACAGTCTGGGGAAGCATGGCTCTAAAGTCATATGCATGAATGATGATGTGGATGAAATATCCATATCTTCCTTGTCCTCTTCTGAGAAGAATGACTTGAGTGAAGACTTCAGCGATGACTTTATAGATCTAGAAGATTTAAACAGAACAATACAAGTGAAGCAAGAAGAAGTCCCTATTGAAGAGTTATTGCGTGGAGGTGCAACACCAGTAGATCCAGTCACTTCTCTCAAGGAAAGTGAAAGGCCTCATTGTAACACCGATGAATGGCTAGATATAGATGTTTCTGGTAAATATTTTTTGTACTCTATTTTTTTTATTTATTTGTCTTATTACTCCTGAGGGCGTTCTGTGTCAAAATTGAAAATTCTGCATCAAAGAATTAAAAATTGTGCGCACAATATTTTAAAATTCTGTAAGTTTTATTTGTCAATAAATAAATGCAGAGGCTCTAGCATGGCAGTAGGGAGCACAGGCCACTAGCTGTACGAAGGTGGGAGATCACCCTGCAACCTCTCCATCCCCCCTTCACAGAACACAGACTCAGCGGTGAGGCTGCACCTGACCCTGACACAGCACAAAGCATGGGCTTGCCCCAGAAACACCCTGGGACCCTGCCGGTCTGCACCAGGTGTGGGGTAGGCAGGATCCAGGTGTGTGTGGGGGATCCAGGTGTGGGACGAGACGGTTCTGTGTGGGACAGTCTGGGTGCAGGCAACTCAGTGGGGTGTCTATGTGTGGGGGGATCTGGATGCACGGAGGCTTATTGTGCAGGGCTCCAGGTGGAGGGGCAATGGGACTTTTGTAGACGCTTCCAGGTGAAAGTTGTTGGGGCTCAGCAGTGTGGGTCTGGGGGAGGGGTGTCTCAGCAGGGGGCCTGGGTGTTGGGGGAGTGGTGCTTTGTGGGTTGGGGGTCTGGGTCCAGCTAGTTGGGGGTCAGTGGCGTGGGGTCCATGTGCGGGCTCAGGGTGGTACATAGGGGTGGGGCTCATCAGGGTCGGGGTTTGAGAGCAGAGGGCTCAGTGGGGAATGGTCTGGGTTCAGGAGTGGGGGTTCAGAAGGGGGTCTGGGTGCAGAGGGGCTCCAGATGCAGGGGTTGAGGTTCTGTGGGGTTTGGGTACGGAGGGCTAGGGGGGTTCTGGGTGTATGGGGTGGGGTTTGGTGGGGGTGTCTGGGTATGGGAGATCCAGATGCCTGGGGGTTGGGCAGATAAGGGAGCAGCTCCTGTACAGTGAGCCTTCCCCCCCCACAGCTGAGGAGTGATGGGGAGCAGGAAGTAGGGGAGGATGCTGAGCTTCCTGCAGCTGGGGGAGGTTTCTGGGGGTGGGTCTGACACAGCCCCAGCCACTCCTTGCAGGGGAAGAGGAAGTCCCATCCTCTCCTGCCTCCAGCCCAGCTAGCAGCTGCTCCCAGCTCAGGTAGAAGCCACTGGCTGTGGTGTTCCCAGCCCTATGGTGGTTTACCTCTCCGTTGGCTTCTGTGGGTGTCTGAAACGATGTACCTGCACAGCTAGGGAGTGGTACATGACTGCTCTTGCAGTTTTCCTTTGCTTCTCTGTCAGAAAGTCATTTTTCTGCGAGGAAGCAAAGATATCTGCATGGGACATTAATTCTGCACATGCGCAGTGGTGCAGAATTCCCTCAGGAGTATCTTCTGTAGAGAAATAAGTTTCTGTTTGAAATACTAACTTGTTTGTAAGTATTTCTAATTTATCTAAATCATCGTAAAGTAAAACTAGTTTTTCTATATTCCCAAATTAGTTGTATTAAGTCCTATATAAATTATTATTAATGATTGATAAATGATCCCTGGCCTTGGATACTGTATTTTCCAGTCTTCTGTACAAACATTGAATACTACTAATATAAGATGTTAAACTGAGTTGTCGTCCAAAAGAAAAACTGTTCTGTTTTAGATATTTTTAGAAAGGAAAAACTGACAGTGGCAATTCATGTTCTAATTTTTTTTTAAATGTAATGAACTTAAGTTTCAGTTGATGGCTCTCAAGAGTGAATTGTGCTTATCTTTGACATTTATTTCAATGCAGCATTAGTAAATGTCAATTATCATATAATGCTGAAATACAAGATAGGAATCCAATGAAATACTGACCCATTTGGTGTTGCTTGAGCTTAATGAAAACTCCTTACGGTAAAAACGACACTTCTCACTAAAGCTAAACATAGTTTAAAAATCTGCACTATTAGCATAGCTCTTTTTGTTTTATCCATTATTTTTGCAGTGGTATTACTTAATTTATTTTGCTTTTTGCAGCTTTTGCAGTATACTAGGAAATACCTTTCTTCAGCGCTGATATTGCATCACACTCTGGGTCTGTGTGCATGATCAGTGCCTCTAATACCCTGCATGAGCCTGAGAATCATTTACTGCTTTGTCCTGATCTGCCCTCTTTCTTAGAACTGTGGGTTCTAAACAGGTGTCTAATCTAATAGCCTAAACATCGTCGGAGCACTTTTAACAGATAAATGTGTTATACACGGGGTGCTGGAACAATTTGTATAGTGGGGATGCTGAGAGCCATTGAACCAAATTGTAAACCATGTATATGAGGGAAACCACTTCAAGACAGGGGATGTAGCAGTACCCCTAGTTCTAGCACTTATTGCTATACATGCTTAAAAATTTATGGCAGAGCTGTTTGCTATGGGAGCCATAACATCAAATTCCTAAGGATAAGTTTGTATTATGTTTAGGAATTTACAACAAGTTAAGAATTTTAAGTTATGGCTCCAGTGGCAAACAACTCCAGCACATTTGGAGATTGTACATGCTTTTATAAATCCCCAAAGAGATCCCCAGTCCCTCTTCACATAGCAGTAACTTAGATGTATATAGCACCTACAGAAGGGGAAGGTGTCCCACCTGATGGCATCTGCCAGGGGAAATCAGTATGCCATGGAGGTGGCATGCCCCTTTCCCCAGATAGATTTGCACAAGTGCTTTTATGCACACAAGCAAAAGAGATAGTTTATGCCATTAGAATAGTACATGATTTTTAAAACAAACTTTTTTAAATCAAAAGGAGTATTTGTGGCACCTTAGAGACTAACCAATTTATTTGAGCATAAGCTTTCGTGAGCTACAGCTCACTTCATCGGATGCATACTGTGGAAAGTGTAGAAGATCTTTTTATGTACACACAAAGCATGAAAAAATACCTCCTCCCACCCCACTCTCCTGCTGGTAATAGCTTATCTAAAGTGACCACTCTCCTTACAATGTGTATGATAATCAAGGTGGGCCATTTCCAGCACAAATCCAGGGTTTAACAATATTACAACAAAAAAACTTCAAATCCAGACTCCAGCGAGAAACTGTTGAATTGGAATTCATTTGCAAATTGGATACAATTAACTTAGGCTTGAACAGAGACTGGGAGTGGCTAAGTCATTATGCAAGGTAACCTATTTCCCCTTGTTTTTTCCTACCCCCCCCCCCACATTCTTGTTAAACCCTGGATTTGTGCTGGAAACGGCCCACCTTGATTATCATACACATTGTAAGGAGAGTGGTCACTTTAGATAAGCTATTACCAGCAGGAGAGTGGGGTGGGAGGAGGTATTTTTTCATGCTTTGTGTGTACATAAAAAGATCTTCTACACTTTCCACAGTATGCATCCGATGAAGTGAGCTGTAGCTCACGAAAGCTTATGCTCAAATAAATTGGTTAGTCTCTAAGGTGCCACAAGTACTCCTTTTCTTTTTGCGAATACAGATTAACACGGCTGTTACTCTGAAACTTGTTTAAATCAGAGGCACTGGTTCACACTGAGGAATAAATTCATGGCAATTTTAATTTCTCAGATCTTCCGAGGTTGGGGTGTGTGAATGCCCCACTCAGAGGGGCTGGGGAATTCAGGGGGACCACAAGCCCAGTTTCCTCTCCCATTCCTGGTGGGAGTTTAAAGGCTACTTGGAGGGGAGAACAAGTGATTCTTCAGGTTCTCCACAGATGGCCGTGGGAGGAACATCAAGCACAGCTCAGGGCTAGTCTTGCTAAAACAGGCTGTAAACTCCCTTGTAGTGTTCTGTTGTACATGTGTCTCTTTTTCCCATCCACAGCCTCCTGACATCTCTCTCTTTTGGGATGAGAGGGAGTGATGTTTCTCTCCTTTTTTACCAAACTCTTGGTGGGGTACATGTTACTCCTTTTTCTCTCTGCTCCCCCACGGGTCTCTTTAGGCTTCTGGTCTCTGAAAAATTATCAGCAAGCTGTTTTCTCTGAAGCAGAAACTGCATTGTTAGCCCTGTACCTTGCTGATGTGTGAACCTGCCAGAATGCAGGGTTCCTGCAAACAGTAAGAAAAAAGTGAGAGATCATGTTAAAATAACTTCTTAAAAATCACGATTGGCAACTAATTATTTCTGAACCTTGCTATTTAAGAAAGGTTCAGAAACAAATTAACTCAGCCACATTTAAATGCCTGTAAACATGGGCTTATTATGTCCAATCATAGCATTGTTATTAGAAATGTATAGTAGATACGTAACTTAGACTAATATAATCAATGTCAGTAAAGTTTATTTTTGTGGAGGAAGATTGCCTAGCTCTTGGAAAACAACTTTCGTTTTTAAGCTCTTTTGCATAAGGAGAAATTGCTTGGCACAGTTTTTTAATATCCTACGTTCTTCCACTAATTAATGGGCATTTCATTGCAGAAGTTTTCCTTTTTCTTGAGAGGTATTACTATTCTGCCAGTTGAAATCTGTCTGTCTGGGCTCAGCATACTTGAGTAATTCACAATTTTTTAAGTCACTTGTTCTTTTTAAGAAATACTTTTCACTCTGTTAGAATTGTTCCAGGGCTGAAAGAGGAAAAAAAATTGGAGGTTGGTAGAAGGTACTTGTGGGTATATTGAGTTTATAACATCCTGATACTGGGGGAGGAAAAGTTGTGTTGTTTTTTTTAACTAACCTTAGTATTGATGACTTTAGAGAATGTTTTAATATCCATTAACACCACTTCCATTCAGATCCTTTTACATGGTAATAACACTGAACATAACTGCTAATTTCAATCTAAATCATTTGGATTATTGACTGTTTTTGTTTTTATTTAAGCAGTAGATGACAAGAATGAAAGCACAAAGCATACTATTGGGAACAACTTGATTTCTCCGGACATGGACTACAGAGCTGGCTCCTCTTTTGAACTTTCTCCATCTGATAGTTCCGATGGAACGTATATGTGGGACGAGGAAGGGTTGGAGCCCATTGGGAGTGTCCATCCATGTGGAAGTTATGAGTCTTCTGAAATGAACAGCATAGTATGTATATGTTCTTACAGCTCTTTGAGATTTTTGTTAGCTTAATATATTGCAGAAAGTATTAATTTTCACAGAATTTTTACGTTTCCTCATTACTCCTTAATTTATATCTTTGTAATATATATCCTAATCTGGATATTCTGAGCCCACCTAATGACAAAGGACCTACAATAAGAATAACCTTTAATTCCAATTATCTGAATTCCCTTTATTTGAAAATCCTAGCTATCCAAATTCACAGTGTATCCTTTATGTAGCACTATGTTAGTTAATAGCACTTCTGTTTATCTGAATGCCTGGTTTTCCAAAAGTTTTAGATGTCTCCCCCTTCACCCCCCACCCCGAATGTAGATAAATGGGAGTGTGTTATAGCTAGTGTGCATTTTAAAAAGTAGTTAGTGGTGAAATATATAACATTTACTTACTCCTGATATTGTGGACTGAGCTTGGTTAGAGTACCACCTTCCTCCTCCAATGTGGTGCTAAAGAAACAACAATGGGCTTATTTTCCTCAAATTGGCATGTTCAGTATTTCCTGTCTGCCTAGGAGCATAGAGGATGAGGAGATGATCTCAGCCCCTTCAGCCTGAGGTAGAGCTTGTTCTTGGGAACAGGAATAACGGGTTCCTCTGGCCTGCCAATCTATTAAATAAATCCCCTTTGAACCTATATTTCATCACACTGTAAGCAAGCTTTCTAGATCATCAGACACCTGTTTTGGAGACCACAACTCTAGCTCCTCACTAGGACAGGGCTTCTAGTTTAATGTCTAGCGTTTGTATATGAGATGAACAGCTACAGTGATTGGCAGCTTAATATGTAGTAGGAGGGATCATCTGCCTTCATCTGAGACTTCTTTTCCGGTGCAGGTGGCATGTTTGGTAGTGTGGCTCTTACCTGTGTCTGTCTGGAAATGAAACGTTGTTCAGTATCAGTGGGAAAGTTCAGCACCACTGCTGACTCTTCACCTATGTTCAGACAGACAGCCTCAGATTTCCTAGTGGGCCAAAGAGGCATTTCAGAAGTATTACATTGTTTTTTGAGAAATGTTTGGGTTCATGGCGCGCACAGCATCTTGCTCATCCTTTGCTTCACGGTTCATATCTGTGGAACAAGAGTGACATGTCCCTCAACTGACAGGGCCTGACTTACTGATCCCTTCCAGAAGAAGAGTCACATTGGTCTATAGGGCTCTAAGCAGGAATAGGTAACTTGCACTAATTTTCCTCCATGTTGGAGAGTATGTGGACAAATGTGGTTAGTATCCACTGGAAAATAAAAATGAAAACCACAATCTAGTTTATTTTTGTTGTGATATCACCAATATGATTACACTTTTTAATATGTTAAGACAAATACAGAAACTGCAACCCGATCATCATCTTTGACTGACTTAGTCATACTTCAAAAGGTAAGTAGGATCAGTCTTGATCAGTGCTGGGATGGGAGTAATCTAGAGACAACTTGTGTGTTGAAGTGGTGTCAGTGAAAACTAGATGGTGATTCTGCATAGTCAGTGCTCTGCTCTGGTTCTTTGCAAGTGGAAGATAACGTCTTATGAGATGTGACATTGTGGTCCTAGCCAAATTCTGCTGAAAAGTTTCAGCTACCCATGATGGTATTCACTGCGTCTTTAAACTATTATGTAATGTTTCTGGGTTCTCTTAAACAGCTGCCAATTTCCTGTGGTGAATTGCACAATCACGAATATATATTTTCATGATTGTGGAATTCACTACAGGAAATATATATATTTTGGAAAGCACTTTCAAATTCTGTGGATGAAGGAGGCTGTGTAGATGTTAATGTTAAAAATTTATCAAAAAATATTACAAGACAATCCAAAAGATGTCCTGAGTGAAGTAGTGTCCCTTCAAAAATCTTAGTTGTATGTGAGCTGTTAAACAAGTAAATGATGTCCTGATACTACATCTTGATGTAGTAAATATTGAAATACTTATTTATTATATACATTTTATGAGAAACTTAAGGTATTCTAGTAGATATTCTCTGAAGTGAAGAATTCTGCTTCCCTAGGTCTCTGATCTGTGTGGCTAATCTTTTGATGTATACATATAAATTGGATCACTACCAGTGGGAGTTGTACATGGTTTTGAACAGAAAATATACCCTGAAGTATTCATTCAATAGAAGCATGTTTTCACACTCTTTCAATGGAAACAATGAAGTTTATGGAGGAGATGGTATGATGGAATAACATGATTTTGGCAATTAATTGATCTTTAACTATTCATGGTAAATAGGCCCAATGGCCTGTGATGGGATGTTAGATGGGGTGGGATCTGAGTTACTACAGAGAATTCTTTCCTGGATATCTGGCTGGTGAATCTTGCCCACATGCTCAGGGTTTAGCTGATCGCCATATTTGGGGTCAGGAAGGAATTTTCCTCCAGGGTAGATTGGAAGAGGCCCTCAGGGTTTTTTGCCTTCCTTTGTAGCATGGGTCACTTGTTGGAGGATTCTCTGCACCTTGAAGTCTTTAAACCATGATTTGAGGACTTCCATAGCTCAGACACAGGTGAGAGGTTTATTGCAGGAGTGGGTGGGTGAGATTCTGTGGCCTGCATTGTGCAGGAGGTCAGACTAGATGATCATAATGGTCCCTTCTGACATTGATAGCTATGAGTCTGTGAGAAGTAGTGAATAGCATAAGTAAGATCATTTACTAATTTATAAAAATTCCTTGTGATGAGTGTCTTGAGTGCTGTGGCATTAATGTAATCAGAGTGGTCTCTTTTTTCCTGTGTCTACTGTAAGTAGATTGCTGCTGCTTAGGGCTTGATAGCTATTACAAGGCTTTTTTCCCCCTGAAACAGGGTTCATCACTGAATTTAGATATTCATGTCATTTTTCATATTCTTTATTTCTGAGTTTGACCTCTTTTAAAAATTAGTTCTTTATCACAATTTTAGTGCTTAATGTACTTTGAAGTTTCAACCTTAAAGGGGGGAAATAGCAAAAAGGTTGCTTTTATTCTTGCAGTGTATAGACATTTTCAGCCATGTTCTTAGAATTTGTGGGGGAAGTTGTAACTCTCAATGCATTTTGAATTTCCTTTTAGTGGTCATTGTTTGCGAGCTGTGGTTTCAGTTACTGTATACAGCACTAAATTTTATCTCTATTACTTCAGGATAAACCACTAATTATTTTTAGCTTGAAAATGCAGAAGTAACCATGATAATTTGAAGAAAAATCTTGTTTTCTGTTCTGCGGAACTGTGCTCTTGAATGAGAATGTATGTGAGCCAACCAGAAAGCAGGTTTCAGAGTAACAGCCGTGTTAGTCTGTATTCGCAAAAAGAAAAGGAGTACTTGTGGCACCTTAGAGACTAACCAATTTATTTGAGCATGAGCTTCGGTGAGCTACAGCTCACTTCATCGGATGCATACTGTGGAAACTGCAGCAGACTTTATATACACACAGAGATCATGAAACAATACCTCCTCCCACCCCACTGTCCTGCTGGTAATAGCTTATCTAAAGTGATCATCAAGTTGGGCCATTTCCAGCACAAATCCAGGTTTTTTCACCCTCCACCCCCCCACACACAAACTCACTCTCCTGCTGGTAATAGCCCATCCAAAGTGACAACTCTCTACACAATGTGCATGATAATCAAGGTGGGCCATTTCCAGCACAAATCCAGGTTCTCTCACCCCCTCACCTCCCTCCAAAAAACACACACACAAACTCACTCTCCTGCTGGTAATAGCTCATCCAAAGTGACCACTCTCCCTACAATGTGCATGGTAATCAAGGTGGGCCATGTCCAGCACAGATCCAGGCTCTCACTCCACCCCACCCCTCTTTTTTTTTTTTTTTTCCCGGGGACACACACACAAACTCACTCTCCTGCTGGCAATAGCTCATCCAAACTGACCACTCTCCAAGTTTAAATCCAAGTTTAACCAGAACGTCTGGGGGGGGGGGTAGGAAAAAACAAGGGGAAATAGGCTACCTTGCATAATGACTTAGCCACTCCCAGTCTCTATTTAAGCCTAAATTAATAGTATCCAATTTGCAAATGAATTGCAATTCAGCAGTTTCTCGCTGGAGTCTGGATTTGAAGTTTTTTTGTTTTAAGATAGCGACCTTCATGTCTGTGATTGTGTGACCAGAAAGATTGAAGTGTTCTCCGACTGGTTTATGAATGTTATAATTCTTGACATCTGATTTGTCAAGGGCTGTCTTTGTGTTTGTGCTCTTCTGGATCAGGAAGTTAGGTGCAAGGCTGTGTAAGTTTGTGACACAACCTCTTTTGGTTTCCTTGTTTATATGCAGCAGGTGTTAAGATAATTGCAGTATTGTTCTTCCATTTTCTCTGTGTTCCCTTAGTTAATTTTGCACCAGTTCTTTTTTAAAAAGGAATAAGTGCATTTAGTGCTCCTAGATATGTGCTTCTGTGGTTCCAAGCAGGTGGTTGTCGATGCCATTGAAGGACTTTGAAACGCTTCTCTGTTCTGCTGATCTTTGTCATGACAGAGGCAGATGAAAAATCCAAGTTTAAACAGCGCGCACCATGTGGGAATAATATATCATGACTGACAAGCACATCAGGTGTTCTTGATTCTTGGAAGGAGAACATTCAGATTACAGTGGCATTAGTTCTCTAGAATGTGATAGATGTGCTGCTTTTGCTAGTATAGGCTCTCCGTTTTATGTGAGTTGGGAGAAATGTTGTAATACTTTAATGTTACAAGAAACAGTGTGAGGTTTCCTAAAATTGTCTTCCAGACTAATATGAATGTTCATAAAGTCTTTGATCTCCTTGGGTAAGTTGCTGACCAAATGCAGAGTATCTGAGGATAAATTACATTTTTATAAGCTAAATTCCTCTTGTGTTTTCACATTGTAGTTCATGATACTGAAATACTAACACCAATATATGATTTAAACAAATTAAATCCTTTGTATCACACAGTTCCCTTACTGGCTGGACGCTCACCAGGCTGTGTGCTCTTTAAGGCTCCTGAGCGTGA